CTGTGGGCACGTGTGTTAGTTTCAGGCAATTAGCAGGCTGATGGGCTTTGTGGTGATCACCAGATAATAGAATAGCAAAGAATCTCTTAGCAATAGATTAAAGAAATCAGGGCCACACAGAGATGGATGTCTGCCAGCAGTACTCCTGGTGGGCGACTCAGGAAGGAAGCAGAATGAGAAGTCTTCTCCTCTCCTGCCCCCAGGAGACTGTCCTTTTAGTAACATTACATGGCCACAGGTAGTGACAGCATTACAGATAGTAGACAGGGTTCAGATAGGACAATGGTTACATCATGTTATTAGGGTTGGTCTGGAGAAAGGCAATTAATCAAGCCCTCTTATTTGACTTAGGAAAGGCCTCTATGGCAAGCTCTCTATGATAACGAGAAAGAGGAAGAATGGTGGCAACTCCTCCTCTCAGAAGCAGCCACATGATGCTAGGAGAGTTTTCTCTACACCACAACACCCATGTGGTTTAGCAACCTTGGGAATGGCAAACCCCCACACACGCACGAGCCATAAATCACCATCAAGAAACACTTACCCATGGCTTAGCAACCTTGGGAATGGCAAACCCGCACACACACACGAGCCATAAATCGCCATCAACAAACACTTACCCGCCCTCCAATCCTGGATTTTGGCACTCCCCTGTGCTGGCGCAGTGGTCCAGTGGAGGAGTGCAATGGCGACCATTACCGGTCTAGCCAATGGGGGAATTGAAGGACTGGTATTTCTTTGTTAATAGCGCCCATAGGAAAGCAACAATAACAACAACCATTTAACCCTTGCAGTGCAGGAGCAGTTGTTTTTTATCTAAACTAAAATCTCAGCATTTGGGTTTTAATTGCAGTGTTGGCACTTTGAAATAAGTAAGTTGATTTTGTGTTGCAATTTCGGCAGCCGGGCTCAAAAAGGTTCAGCATCACTGGTCTATGGTAGATGTGTGTATCAGAAACAGAATTTGTAAACATGCATATACTCATGGAATGCAGGAAACATATTTACAATTGTTTACAACACAAAACTGATTTGGACACACAAGTGGCAAAAGCTCCACATCAGCACTGATTTTTAGAGATACTTTACTCCCTGTCATTTTTCCGGGCTCAAAAAGGTTCAGCATCACTGGTCTATGGTAGATGTGTGTATCAGAAACAGAATTTGTAAACATGCATATACTCATGGAATGCAGGAAACATATTTACAATTGTTTACAACACAAAACTGATTTGGACACACAAGTGGCAAAAGCTCCACATCAGCACTGATTTTTAGAGATACTTTACTCCCTGTCATTTTTCCATTAGCAGAATATATACAAGCAACCAGAAATCCTGTATCTTTATTTTTTAAAATAATAATAATAATAATACTATAACCAAGATTTTTTTTGCAAAATATGTTGTGAACTCTTAGTTACAAAGCTACCTTCCCAGTAATGGACAAGGTATACTCACACGTATTTTCAAGCATTCCCCCCAGAAACATGATAATCTATATCTTCATGCTACAGCTCTGTCCATTCACACTAACTGACTCTTCCCTCTTTCAAAGCTCACCAAGTGTTCCTCGTTTCTATAACACAATCCCATTTTAGTACAATTCTTTATGCTAATCAGCCAAACAATTAACAGTTGGCTCTGCTTTAGGTAAGGTCAGATTACTGCCAGCTGCTGCATTGTCTGTCTAAGCTCTATTTTCTACCCTCCCCTAGGATTAGTAACAAGGAAAGACTCATTCAGAGGGATATACATGATTCATTCTTGATCAGTCAGCCACAAGCCTGCTACCTTTTTCTCCTTTTCCACTGCAACATAGAATTGGTTACTATTAAAATTACTCACCATTTATATCTACTGCTGAAGCACAGAGCTTGAAAAGTGACTCAAAAAAGTAATTGACTACCATTACAGCTCCACCTTGACAGTACTTAACGATTGCTATAGATGTATTTTTAAAGTAACTGGTTTTCACAAAAATAGCTGGAATATTTTGAGTTACTTTAAAAAAAAAGATGCATGCTATAAGCTTATGGCCTACAGTATTTAAAAAACTTCTTTCAATCAAGCTTTTTTTCTTTCAGTCTTGACATCCACAACTGAACACAAGGCAACACTTGAACCATATGATATTGCTCAAGTTACAAAAAGAACTGCATTATTCATTGATAAATTACAACTGTAATGTAATCTTGTTATGTCATTACTATTGGGAAATAACTGATTACAAGTAACTTTTATTGATAACTAGATGCTACTTGGAAATATACAACTACAAGTAAAAAAGTCAGTGATAAATGTGGAAATGTGCTCAGTGTAACAGTCCTCATAGCCACCTCACTCCAAACATACAGGTAGTTGGTCTGGTGCTTATCAACAATTATAGAGCAGCTCTTTTGTACAGTTAATAGCTCTTAACTGCTCATTCAAGACCAAAGCAGCCTTAAGTACTCTGCATTACAATAACTCCTTGCAACCAGGGTGGGTAAAAAAAATATGTGATTTTTAAAAAAATTAAATTGATTTAATTTATATCATGTGCCCTGTCTAAATTAAATATATATAAATTTATATTCCCAATGGTAGTGGGTTACACTGTATATTGAGTTGTAATTTTATTTGTTATTTATGTTTTTAGGAATGAACCGCAACAGATGGGAAACATTTGACATCTGAGCATTTAGCCTGGAGACAGGTGGTGCAGCATGGCCTCTCCCAATTTGAAGAGACACTTGTCCAGCAGGCCGAGGCAAAGAGGCAGTCCCAAAACCAGCAAAATCAGGGAGATGGACAGAGGACAGATTGTATTTTTCTTCATTGTGGAAGGGATTGTCACTCTCAAATTGGTCTTCTCAGCCACACTAGATGCTGTTCCAGGACCTCTGTTCAGAACATGTTACCATAGTCTCTCAAGACTGAAGGACGCCTACATGTTTTTGTTATATTTTGTTATATCAATAAAAATGAAAAAAGAAATTGGTTTAAATTATAATTTAAATTTTAGAAAATTAAAATTAAATTTAAAAATCAAATTTAAAATAAATTTAAGTCATTATTTTAAATTGTGGCTTAGATCAATTTGCTTTAAATCAAATCCACCCAGCTTGCAACATTGTTCAGTCTTTTGGAAAATCCATTTTCCTCCCAGAATTTCTAAGGATTGCTGCTAAACTCAGAGGAAGCACAGAAGCCCAAGAGGGGTGGCAGATGATGTCACAATCCCTGATCAGAGAGTTCTCTGCAAGCTGTGAATCCACTACACCACTAGCCTCACCTGGCATGAAATATAGGCAGAATTCTATTCCCTAAACAGGTAGGATCAGGAACAATCGGCAGAAGAGTCTAATGCTTCATTTGCAGACTCATACATGGATACTGAGGTAAAGGTGAAATCTCCAATCTGTAACCTTATTTACCACTTCAAAGGAAATTCAATTTTTTTTCATTTATTTTAATTAGAGCAGAAAATTTGCATCTTGCTTTACAGTAAAGATCACACTGCATCCTGACAGGCTTGTATCCATACATCTGTTTTCATTTTGTTTTATTTCTAATCTGAAAAGCATATAACGCTGAAGGAAAAGAAAGACACTTAAAAGCCTCTCTTCATCCGCATTTGCTGAAAGTTTGAAACCCAAGGAGTGATTAGAATTGCTGTGGAATCTCAAAGCAGTGGAAATCCTACAAAAGTTCTATCCCTCTTTCCTTAAAAATTTGTCTCCCCATCTCTTCAAAGGAGGGCTCCTACACCTTTACCTGATATAAATAACTAGCAGCAAATTAACCTGTCAGTTTTTCTTTACCAATTGGGCAGCCAAACTCCCAATCTGCACAATTCCTTCCCTCTCTCCTACACACCCTAATCTCCCTTGAAATATCAATAAGTCACCAACAATAACTATAGACAGATATACTGTAGAGAATCGCTGAGATTCTGACGAAACACAACTCCGGTTTTCTGACTCAGTATACAGACACTTCTCGACAGGATAGAAGTTGGCACAGAATTCCCCTGATGACTTCTCTTTCCACAGGCTGTTCTCAGGGATGCCACTACAGGCATACCAAACCGGGCTAGCTGTTTTCCCTTTCTCTCCCTGACGCCAGCCCAGCAGTATCTCTTTCAACAGCTGCCCGAGTTAGACTTCAACCGTTTTCTCATGTGACTCAGGGTGTTTCCACGCAAAGGCTTTCGTTCGGTGGTCACCCTCCCCTGTTAACATGATTTTACAGGCGATCCAAGTGGCATCATCTTCAACTTGTACTCCCCCTGCGTCTTCTGATTTCCCTGCTGCTTCTCCTTCCAAAATAAAATTCATTAATGGTGTAAAGCTGGAGGAGATCTGCAAAGTCTTTTAATTAGCAGCACTGCAACCCATATCTTTGGAGGCAACCTCAGAGCTTCTTTGAGTCATTTTTCTCAACTACATCTTTAGTGTTGTTGTTTTTAGGGTTCCTCCCCCCCCCCAGTCAGGATTACACCATGAGTCAAAATAGTTCTTTTCTTTTCTCCATGTTGTTCTTGATTTTGCTTTCTGTCTATTAATTCTAAATAATAAAGCAGTGATAATTTCATTGTAATACAGCACTGTATTAATTCTGTACTTGCTGCCTTGTTTCTGTTTTTGAATTCAGTGGCGCTTTGTAGAACACTTTCCTTCCCCTTGATTCTCTTCCCTGGACTGTAATGTCTTCTGACAAGCATTGTTTAGCATAAGCTGCTCTGAGCACAGCTTGCTGTGGATAAGCAGCATATAAATAAATAAAATGAACAAAGAGCTGGCTAAACATCCTCCTCTCTTTCTGTGCTGATTGCTATCAGTCCCATTTCCTCTGGCTGCTATTTACATTTTTTAAAAATAAGCAAGCACATTGAACACAAAATGCATTCCACAACTGGCCCTGTCAGCAACAGCTGTAGCCAAAGCGTGGATTCAATTGTTAATTCAGTGAAGGCTTGCTCCTGGACACACACATGTACCCATCTGCAGCACTTACTGTTCAACATTTCCTTCATGTCTTTAAGTGCAGAAATTCAATGGGTAGAACTTATTCTCTCTCTCCCACCACACTAAGGAAAAGCTTCATTTCTCCATGTCAGGCAGCTATAATAAAGCAAAATAATTTGCACATATCACAGTCCACATGAAATGCTAGCTGAGAGAAGAGCTAGAACAATCTCTTCCCCCCAAAAAAAAGACCCAAAAGGCAGAAAAACCGAAGCAAACTCTGAGATGGGTAAGCAAGAAGGCAGTCAGATTGGGGAGGGGAGGGGAAAGAACAGGGCTGTTATACATTTAGTGATGGGTGGGAGGAGGAATTTGCATGACAACGGGAGTTCAACAGGTGTAGCTTGTCATGCAAGCTACATCTGCAAGCCTTCTCTCTTTCTGCACAAGTATTAAAGATACAGGCACTGTTTGGTTTTCCTTGCCTCCATACTAGAAAAGTACATATTTGACATACTGCCCTCATCCTTTCCCAAACTAGTTAATTACTAACAGTTCAAAACATGATGAAAAGTAGGAAATTATCGTAGATTAGACAGATGATTTATATGCTTATACTGTATTAAGCTCCCTCTAGGTCTCTGTAGGTCTCAAGATTTCAGCCAATTAGAGAGGACAAGTGGAGTCTAGAAATGCAGCTCTGTCATTTCTATCCTTAGAATGCTCCATTTAGAGACAAATTAGCTCCAAATCTTTTCACCCCCGCCCTTAAAGTTGAAATACCATTTTTTTACTGTTTTTTTAAAAAATGCCACTTTAGATAAAGTGAGGGGTGGCACACAATAGGACTGAAGAACAGGGGACATGTTTACATCTGAAGTTGAAGCAGGCACAACTGCATTGGCTACCAATCCATAGCTTCCTAATCCATAAACGATCCCATAAATTCTATTTACTGCTACAATAGTTTTGAAGTTCCCTTCATGAAATAGACATATTCTTGCTAGTGGCAGGTGATGTTTAATTCTATCATGTGCTGAAATCTTTTCCTTGAAAGGCCAAGCTTTAGTTGCCAACTAGAGTGCAATTCTACAAATACCTATCTGGATGAAAGTCCAATTCAATTCTACTTACTTCTGAACAGACAGACAGATGACTGCACTATTAATCTCTTGCCAACCCTGGTATGCCTAATATAGAGAGAGCATTTGGGGACTGCACATATCACAGGTACGTTACACTGATTAAGATGATGAGTCCTTAAATAGATGCAGTTTTAAAAAACAATTTTGCATAAAAGATCAGTCAAAAATCCTCTTTATAAAAAATACCAAATGCAGTGTAAACAAATAATTATAGAATCACAGAATAATTGAGTTGGAAGGGGGCTATAAGGCCATTGAGTCCAACCTCTCCTCAGTGCAGGAATCCAATTCAAAACAGATCAGACAGATATAATATCTGAATATTACATTTCAAGAATGAGGACATATTTATATCCTTAGTCTGAAACAGCAGATTAGGAAGTATTAAAAACAGGTTTTGACCAGAGGTGGTGGGGAGGAACCCTTCAGCAGTGAGCTTTAAAGTACAGTACAATTAAAAAGAGCAAATAGGAGTGATCCATTGACATTGGGCAAATTTAAGCCTGTTGTTCTACATTAGGGGTCTCAAACTCAATTTACCTGGGGGCTGCTGGAGGCAGAGTCTGGGTGAGGATGGGCCGCATTAGATTTTCCGCCAAGTGGAGCAAGAGCCCGAGGAAGCCGCCCAGGAGGTTCTTTAGCCCGGCTAGGGCTCCAAAGAGGAGGAGGTGCACACACGCACGCACACGCACGCACACACACACACACGCACACACGCACACACAGAGACAAACACAGAGACACACACACATTGCCAAAGGAGAAAAGCCCCCATTGGTACGTGCGAAATTAAACAGAATGTGGTGGGCCCTCCCACAGGTGCACGCATGCACACACACACACACAGACAGACAGACACACAAACGGAGGTCCAGCAACCTTCCTCTGAAGGCCTCCCCTCAAAAAAGGCGCAGTCAAAAAAGGCACATTCAGCAGCAGCAGCTACCCCCACCACGACAGAGGATCAAACTTTGTGAGGTTAGCCCAGGCAGCCTCCAGAGCCGAGGTGGCTGAAGCAGGACGAAGAGGAAGAGGAAGCATCGCTGGGTGCTGAGGCAGCCGCTGGCTGGGCTGGTGCTGGGGGTGCCGAGAGAGAAAGAAAGCCAGAGAGCCTCTTCCCTGGAAGAGGTGGCGGTAGCAGCTGCTGTTGGCGGCGATGTCGGAGGCGCTCTTCGAGGATGGGCTGGGAGAGAGCTCTGCTGTCAGGCATCGCTCAATGGTGGCTCGAGTGCTCGGGGAAAAGGTCTGGCAGCGTGCCAGCTGGCATACAGGCGGGCTGGCTGGCAGGATGCAGTTCCAGATGGAGGGTGCAAGAGGCGCTGTTTTGGGAGAGATCCGGCGAGCGAGTCAAGGCTTTTTTTTTTACTCTTGACAGCAGAGGATGGGTAGGTGCTTCAGGGGGGGTAGGCAAGGCGGGGGCCGCAAACTATCATCCGGCGGGCTGTAAATGGCCCCCGGGCCACATGTTTGAGACCCCTGTTCTATATCCTGTAGCAACTTTATCAAAGCAGAATGAAAAATGAAACAAGCAAGGAGGCTATATGGCAAGCAGAACTTGTGCAATGGAGGGGGTGTGTGCATAAGCCTTTGCAGGGTCTAGTCTAGCTTGACTGGAAACACGTGCTATGATTCTATATCACAAAAGAGAGAGGAACCAAGTAAAAGGAGGCAATGGAAGAATTCAAATTGCATTGACTGTGCTAGATGTCCCAACCCATACTTCCAATAACTAATTATTACCTAAGAAACAGTCCACTAAATGCACTGCTGTGATGCCCCTCCTTCTTGGCTGTCCTTTGCTCCTTGCCCAAGTACCAGATCGCTTCTCCTTGTTCCTTTAAAGTATTCCCACAAAAGTATCAGACAAGAATCTGAGAAATCTACACTTGGTTAAGTGACTTAACAAGAGCGCTCTAAACCCAAGACTGTTGGGTTCAAAAACAATTCTGTACTGTACTTCTACACTAGGCCGAATAAATGTTTCCAGCACTGCCTAACCCCCAGGGGGTGTGACAAACCAAAAGCAACAGAACAGAAGGGGGCAAATGATTTCATGGAATACTGTATGTGTATGCAGTAGCAAAGGGCCACATGGTTGAAAAGGGCAATATAAACACTGTTATTCTCTTTACCTATTTGCGGGCTTGTACTTCTTTTGTGCCAGCCAATCACATCCTGTACCAAAGCTGAAAAGCCAGATGGATATGTAATGTAAACTGTATGGATAGACTGCCTAGACAAGAGGGGCAGGTGTGGCCTGGTAGAAGGTTGCCTCTCTCTTATTATGAATAAATCTATCTATCTGGTTCTTTTCCTCTTTCAGTCTACCCTGTGGATCTAGTTTTCTCCTGAGAAAGCTGAAAAATGCATACGGAGAAAATCATGCTTCCTATTCCCATTTAGCCCAAGAATGATGTGTAGAGTACGGTAAGTTATCTGGTAGAGTCGTAGACAATGCATACAATTGTTCAATTCTGCACTGCCTCACAATTACCTCTGTTGTCATAAAGCCTTTCACAGAACTACTGTTCTTTATCAATGCAGAAAAATAAACTCGCTTGTAAACCAAAATTAAAGCAGCTTTTTTCAAATCCCCTTATGGTAAAGACACCCACAGAAAATGTAACATAGAAATCAAGAACATATTTTTATTTGTGTTAATGGCACGTGGACAGGGTCCTTGGTTTTAGAGAACCACCCTCCTGCCCCCTCATTTTGTCTGACATAATAATCATAAAGTTATTCTTGAATTCACCTTTTGTGTTTTCCTTTACTCACCTCCATGTGCCATTACCCAGTTCATCTCAGAAAGAATTTCTTTGCCAGGATACTGTGGTATCTCAAGTGTATTTAAGAAATAAAAATATATTCCCGCCCCCCACATCTTCAAGTTTCTCTCCTATAAAACTAAGTGCTTTTCATTACCTTGTGAAGTACAGTTTCAGTGCAAGGAAAACAGGCACAGCAGGGGAAAGAAGTCTTCCTTGCACAAGCTGAAATTTGCCAATGAATGTAGCTCTGGTTGCAGTCCTTGCAGTCAAAGACTAACTGTAAGCTCCATAAACTCCTTTAATAATAGAACTGCTAAGCTCCTAAACAGCACTTCCATTCCAGGGCCTTAAAGCCTCAACACACAAGAACAGATTAAACCTCTCAACACCAACTGAAAGCAGAGAGTAAGAAAGTGAAACCCCATTTCACAGATATGGAAACTAAGGAGGCCTGACCACATCCTAGTAGGCAAAGACCTTTCCCTTAATGACTGGTGGTCTGAGTGCTTTTTAAATGGATTGTAGTGCTCTGTTGTTTTAACTGTGTTTTAGTACTGATTTCATTTACTATTTTTAATATACTTTTTCAATTCATTTTTAATAGTTGTATACTTATTGTTTTTAGCTTTTAAATATTATCTTTTTAATGATGTAAGCCACACTGAGTCCTTTTTTAGGGAGAAAGGTGGGATAAAAAAATTTAAACAAATAAATACCTGTGTTTATAGTTCTTTAGATTGGGATATACATTTCTGTGTGCATCGGGGTTTTAAATGTGATTTCTAATTAAAATGAGCATATTGAAACCTGTAGGTCCTACACATTTCCACTTGATTTACAGGTGAGTCACCTTTTGTCATCACAGGAAACCAATCTGACATTTTCATAGATATATCCTGGGGGTATCCCAGAAGGCTACTCGCTAAGAAAGTAATGATCATATATGCAGTGACTGACAGGCTTTATATACGTGTGTGTGTGTGTGTGTGTGTGTGTGTGTGTGTGTGTGTGTGTGTGTGTGTGTGTGTAAGCTTTATGCATATGTAGTATGTATATGTGTATGTATATACACACATATATACATACAGTATATATAAAGCCTGTCAGTCACTGCAAGATTTTTTTGGTCTTGTAGAAGAACATAAAGATCAGCACTTTCTTCCCCAGCAGTAGCATTGGGAGGATTTGTGGCGCCAGAAACAACACACAAACAAACAAACAAACAAACACACACACACACACACACACACACACACACACAGAGTATGCCTGTACTTTTATTTTGCATTCAAACACTTGTATTTTACA